ATATATGTTTATGTTCTCAGTTGACCTATGATCCAAAATCCAAAAGGTAAAATTCTGAAAACAATAAATATTGTTTTCAGTTTTTAGATTCATTTAATAAATTTAACTCATTTCACAATAATTATACAAAATTTATGACAAATTTATGACATATATGTTAATTGTTAATACATTAATTAACTATATTTGTGTTAATGCTAAAATTTGGAGAGGTCCACATGTCCTTCGGGTCGCCAAACAAATGAGCTTGTAGCAACGATTCTTGATATCTATGCGATGCCCTGCCTAATACTCTCTAACGGTCAAGTTAATAATCAAAGAAAAAGATAGCAAAGAGCATCTTAGGAATGTAGTGACAGATTCTTCATTTACCACGTGGTTGTGGTACTCTAACCCTTTTTATAGACGTTCGTGGCTGACTAAGAATGACGTTTGACACACGACATGGCAAAACTCGCCATCGTACGAGATTATGACAGACGATTAGAGGACATTCCCAGTGCGTAGTATCAAAATTGTCGCCTGCCACCCTGTCCCCCTGCTGCAGGGTGTGTCGCGCCTATAGGTACCAACGATGCGTCCTCCCTTAACCGATGTCACCACCTAAACCAAACACGGCGCCTGCTCGAACTTCACCCTCAACATTTTAGATTAAATTATTTAATTGCGATTATTATTGGTTTATAAATATATTACTAAATAAAGTGTGAACAAATTTTTTAATTGAGATTCAATTTCAAAATATGTTATCAAACAAAAATATTGAAAGAATACTTCTCAAATCACCAACTAAAAGCACCTAATTCATTTACTTAGAAATTAAATTATAGAATGCTTAATTCATTTACTTAGAACTTAAATTTTAGGTTTCTATAAGAAAAAATACAAAATTTCGATTTAGTCTTTTCAGCTTTAGGAATATTTCATTTTTATCTTTAAATTTAAAAATGATTTTTTAGTCTGTGATTAAATATGAGAGAAATTGCAAAAATCCCTCCTGGCCTATAAAAGAAGTTAAAATCACACCTCCCAAATTTTCAATCAAATCCTTATATGTTGCAAAATCCTCAAAACTACAACTAAACTATAATAATAGTTGCAATCAAACCCTATTTTCTTTTCCCTTAAAGAAATTTCTAAGTTTTCTTTTCTTAATATTTTTTTCTAAATAATATCTGATGAGTTCATCATCAACCAATTCTAACGTAACATTTTAAACAACAGAGTTTAAATTGATAATTTCTTTGCTATTTCTATTTTCAGGCTCTCACCAATTCCATTTCAATTTTTTTTTTCTTTTTTTTTTTGTATTTTTATCCACATTTTCCTCCCTTTGATTATTGTTTCAAGGCAACTCTGGGTTTTGGATTATAAACTTCGATCAAATTTGATTTCCATCTTATATCATGAAACTAAAATTCGAGATTCTTTATTGTTGCTCATTGTATTTGGTGTGCCCTCTACCTGTTTTTAGTTTTAGATGCGTTTACTATCATTGTGCCTATTCAGTCGTTCAATTTTCTCGATCGAAATTTTATGTTCAGAGACGTATTTCATAACGAAATGACTAAATAGAAGCATAATCAAGAATTCACAAACGCAGCTGAAACTATTTCTCAAACTTGACGATCAATGCATCTGCAAATTTGATCATATCACTAGTTTAGAATGCTAACAAAGTATTGTTTGTTGATTTGTGGCAGTTAAGAAGCAGAAGAAATGATATCTCTCAACGATAATATGGATGTGGACATGCCTATCACCGGTGGCCGACGAAACGGCCGCAGTTCACCTCCAGCTATGGGGAGATGAGTGCGACGTGGTCGAGCCAAGCAATATTATCTGCTTGACGAACGGGAAGAGAAGGAAGATAGAGAAGGTGGGAGAGTTCAACATGGTGTTTGTAGAGACACCGAATATGAGCGAACCCTGGGTTCCCGACACGACTGACTCGAGGAAGTAGTTGAAGGAATCTGTTCTATCCCCCTATTCTTGTCAAACAATCGATTCCTTAAGAAGATTTTCTTATGTAATGGCACTCTTTTTCAGAAAAATGCAAAGAAATGTCAAGAAAAGAGTAAATTATGAAGATGCAATTGGCACTATCAGGCTATGCAAACATCTAAGATGGAAATGGTGTAATGTGCATTGCTAATGCAAAATCTTTGTTACGAACAAGAAAGCAAAACACAATATGATTTCAATTTTCAGCTGTATATCCAACAAAAAGATTCAATCTTATGCGGTTCACAATGATCAAACAGTTTGCAAACCAAAGCAATGAAACCATAATCGTTTTCATTCTCAAGTACCTCCTTGTGTATCAAATTTTGTTGATGATCAGAAACTTTTAGAACTCTTGTGATGCAGACCCGATGTCGCCTTTCCCTGATCCAGCCTTCTTAGGCAAGAGATTTTGATGGATATTCGGCAACACTCCACCATTTGCAATGGTCACATCACCCAAAAGCTTGCTCAGCTCCTCGTCGTTGCGAACTGCAAGCTGTATGTGCCTCGGAACAATGCGATTCTTCTTGTTGTCTCTGGCAGCATTGCCTGCAAGCTCAAGCACCTGCAAATGGAGACTTTTGGTACTTCAAAGAAACTCTCAAATGAAAATTTTGATGAAACCCAACTGAAATTTTATCCATTTGAAGAACAAATCGACATGGTTTAACTTTCTTGATCTTATTCACCAAATAATTTGACATGGAACCAGTGAATTCACTTGAAGAAACTAAATAGAGTGCATTGATTATGAACTTTCCAATTGGATGCAATGCAATGGCAAAACAAAGACGTTAAGACAGACCAAAACGATATGCTCAAGATTAATACTACGATTAAAAAGTGATGATAAATTGATGACTTCGTTTTCATAAGATCCTTTCAAAACCATGATCAGTTTCTTCATCAATCACATCTACATAGCAACGAATCGGATTCCACTTCTTCCAATCAATTCCAAAGTAAAAGCAGAACAAACAGAACTAAATCAGATACAATACTTCCAATTCGAGTTGATCAGAAAACTACACATTACTCTGCTTCATCGCATTCAGAACCTCAGAACCCCATAACCCCACAAACAAACAGATCAGAAACACAAGTAAAAGATCTGAGAAGAAGATCTAACACTAACCTCGGCGGCGAGATATTCAAGGACGGCGGATAGGTAGACGGGAGCACCGGCGCCGACGCGCTCAGCATACTTACCGGCTTTGAGAAACCGCGCAATACGACCGACGGGGAACTGAAGGCCGGCTTTCTGAGACCGCGAGACAGACTTCGTGGCCTTCGGTTTCCCTCTGCCGCCCTTGGTCGAACCAGACGAACTCATTGTATGTAATTTCCCGGCGGATGATCGGAACCCTAAAAAATGTAGAAATTGACACAATTGGGGAACAAATATGGATTTCGAGGCCAAGGGCTTAACGTAAAAGGGTTCCGAAAATATATATAGAGAGACGAAAATAAGTGGAATATATTTAACATTATTAAATAAATAATAATAAAATATAGAATCAATTATGAATATGGTTAAGATTTCGAGCATTTACTCGTAATTCCCGTTTGGCCGATACGAAAATTTAAGATTCCGGGAAAATGTGAAGGAAAAAAGAGGTCTCAAACGCCATTTCTTTCGATTCAAATAAGTGGCTAACTTCATCGGGATTTACACTAGGAACAAAGTTGAACAATGAAGACGGATGGAAACTGATCTAAGTAACGAAATTCGTTTCGCAAATTTACATACCAGAAGAAGAATGATTCCATACAAACAACAATCTAACATAACCTAACTATTTTGTTCTTCTTTTCATCAATGGTGATTTCTTTAGTAACCTAAAATTCCTGCGATGCTGATCCGATCTCGGCCTTCTCCTTCCCGGCCGCTGCCTTCTTCGGCAAAAGAGACTGATGAATCTTCGGCATCACTCCACCGCTGGCGATCGTAACAGATCCCAAAAGCTTGCTCAATTCCTCGTCGTTCCTCACCGCGAGCTGGATATGCCTCGGGATGATTCTGGTCTTCTTGTTGTCCCTCGCGGCATTACCAGCCAACTCCAAAACCTAAACGAAAAACAAAATTCATCGATCAGAAGCGAAAATCGAGAACTGAAAAACTGAGCTTAAAGTGAACCGGACGTTTACGAACCTCGGCGGCGAGGTATTCAAGGACGGCGGAGAGGTAGACAGGGGAGCCGGAGCCGACGCGCTGAGCATAACGGCCCTTCTTGAGGTACCTGGCGATCCGGCCGACGGGGAATTGGAGGCCGGCCTTGTAAGACCTGGAGACAGACTTGGAGGAGGATTTCTTGCCTCTGCCGCCCTTGGCCGGTGCGTCGGTAGAACTCATTTTTTCCGGCGACGAGATTGAAAAAGGTGATCGGAATGAAGGAAACAGAATATGGGAAGAGGAGATTATGGCGTGTCGGAGAATACTTTGGAGCTGTGAGTGGAATTTATAAGATAATGGACGGCTGTGATTGGTTGAACGAGGTTTCACGCGGATCGCCAGCGTGGCAAGAAATGGATTTTTCTGAATTTTGTAAATTATTTTTGAAGTTTCGCGCGGCGGGGGGACGGAAGATTTGAAAAAATACGTTTTTTCGCGTCGCGGGCGAATTGTTCTTTGTTTATTTTAAAATTTGGGAAATTACTTAAATGATTTTATTTTTTTTGGTTAAAGGTGATTTTAATGTAATTATAAGTTATTACAAAAAGGGGAACAATCAAATGAGAAACACTATGAAATATGTGAAAGTGTGGGGAGGGATTAGTACAATATTGTACTACAAGTTTCGGTGTATATCACTATTGATTATGGTTGGATTGAGGCACAATAATGTTTCGCATCTCGAGTGATATGGGAGATCGAACCTCCAATCTCAAGAGGATAAGTATATATCAATTACCATTAAATTATGTTCATATTAGCATCAAGATATCTCTATTTAAATACACATAAGTCGTTAAGTAAATATAGCAACTAACATATAAGGAAGTAACCAAAAAAATAATAAACATACGCTAGCCACTTATCAACTAAACTAATACTCGCCTCAAGATGAAGTATAAAGATTGAAGATACCCATTTTTGGTCATTAAAGAAGATATAAGAGAATCGGTTGTTGCCAACCTGAACATAGCTTGTCTAATTATGGTGCTTAACTCCGATCAAAATATAGTGAATTCAAATCTCCACCCCTATATGTTTACTAAAAGAATACATAAGGAAACACCGCACCAACATCCTTACCGGGTGTTTGGGGCAATGACTTGTGAGAAGTAGAGTTGGGAGGAGTTGGGAGATTTTCTTAATCCTTGTTTGGGGGTCAACTCCCTACTTTATTTTCCTTTATATCTTATATTTTTCTTAGAGTGGACCCTACACCATTCACATCTATTTTCTATTCTCATTCTCCTATCATTTCTCTCTATCCATCTATTTTTTACTACTTTTCATTGCTTTTCTATCTCTTATTTTTATTATTAATCATTTCTCATATTTATTTAATTGTTTCAATTTTTATTTACAAAATAATTGTTCCAATTTTAACTTTTCCTACCCTCCCAATTATAAATCTATAGATATATATAATTGTTTTTTATAAATATAATTTTCTTTAATTAAAAAAATATATTTATATGAATTATAATTCAGTTTTATCTCCCTATATTTATGTCTTGATATAAAATAAATTTTGAAAATGGTAAACTTAAATAATTAAATTTCTTTATAAAAAAATTCAATTCAATTAATCAAATCGTTAAATTTAATCTTAATTTATAGATGAAAAAGTTAAGTTATTTTAATTATTGTCATCTTTCATCCATATTTAAATAATTGGTAGTTAAAAAATGATATAATTTTTAAAATGTGATTTTAAAATAGGAATAGTAGTCTATTTTGGATTCATATTATATATAATATTAAGCTAACAAATATTAAAGTAAAATAATATACTTAATTTTAAAATGAGTAATATTCAAAGTTACAAAAATATATATGTTAATAATTATTTAAATAAAAATAGTAAAATTAATTATATTTAATTTAAATTAATTATATTAAATGAAGTGTTTAATTTTTATATTAGTCACAATCAAATAATAAATATATATATATATATTTTTTATTTATTTCTATTTTTCTTTTAAAATATTAAATAAAAATATTGTGTTTTTCGTTTGAAATATTAGAAAAACCAAGTTATCTTATAAAAATCTCAATTTTATAATTGATGAATTTGAAAAAATCATTGCAATCTAATTATAATTGTATAATACAGTAGTAGCAAAAAAATCAGCTAAAAAAATTTCAGTTTACACAACTCTAGACTTATTAAATCATTGCCCCAAACACAGACTTCAGAAATCAAAGTTTAACAACTCTGCACCCCAAAACAGACTAAACAACTTCAGACTTATTAACTTCTCAAATTAAATTTATTTCCCATGTTAAACAACTCTAGATTAAATAAGTTCAGACTTAACAATTCCTTACCTCAAACACCCCCTCAGTAAACATGGCAACAAGCTAAAATTGAGATTGGATAAGCAAAGGTTAAGAAAACCATCCAAAATCTTATCAATAGCAAAATGACTATCAATTTCGATGTATTTTGTACACCCATAAAAGGTCTAACCAGTAACAATATATACGACAACTTAATTGGACAAGAACCCTAATCAGCATCAACGAAGGCCTTAAGTTGAAAGGAAAGGCAAAAATATTGCAACACAAATAATGAACAAACATACATGTGCCCCGAACAAAGTTGGGAAATAAATTGGCTTAAACATGAATAAGAAAAGTACTATCAAGCCAAGATATTTGAAGATAAAGCAAGAAATCAGTATGCATTTCGATTAGGGTCGTATTCTATGGTTACGATTCTACCATATATGTCTTTTTCATTCCGTCGAAAATCGATTTTACGGTATAGACGCTTATGACCTCCCCCTCTATGCCCTGCGGTAATGATTCCTCTGGCATTACGACCTTTACCACAACGATKCTGTCCATAGATCAAATTATTTCGTGGATTGGATTTTACTTGACTGTCTACGGCTCCATTGCGTGTGCTCGGGGTAGAAGTTTTGTATAAATGTATCGACATGCTATTAAGTATTTTGATTTAAGTTCTTTTCTTTCTAAGAGGTGGAATAGAATAACCTGGTTGAAGCGTAATGATCATACGTCTGTAATGCATTGTATGTCCCATAATAGGTCCCATTCTTCTACCCTTTCTCGGGAGTCGATGACTATTCATAGCTATTACCTTGACACCAAAGAAGAGTTCGACCCAATGCTTTATTTCTGTCCTAGTTGATCCTGATTCGACATTAGAAGTATATTGATTCGACATTCGATAAAGAAGTAACATTGTCATCATGTAAAGGACTACTAGAAGAACTCAAAGAAACTCATGGATCCATGGGTAAAGAAGTAGGCTTAAAGAGACAATTAATCTCATTATTGGAGTGAGATGACACTCTAAAACCAATAAAATACTTGACCAAAGTTTCAATGAATCCAAACCAAATCGGAAAATGGCTCCATAGTATCATCATTAGGGTGTGAAACATAATGACAAACCAATAGATGGTGATCATAAAAAACCACTTCCATTAGTTTATAATAGACGTGGACTACTCTTCTCATTGATTTTGAGATGGAACTCAATGAATATTAATATGGTATCAGAGTCAAAAACGTTAAAACGAGCCTCCGATCTAAAAATTGGTTTATAACCCTATGAATATTAATAAAGATCCTAAAACTCTATGAGGATCAAATTTTTTTCTTCATAGACTAGAAATGAAACACGACCTTGAATATTTTAAAGCATTTGAAAATACTTTTGTCCAGATTTCCAAGCCTATCCTACGTGGTCAAATTTCTTTATCTTTAAATTATAAATTTCTTTTTAAACTTCAAAAATATTTCATTTACCTCTTATAATTTTGGGTTTTATTAAAGGAAAGTTTTCATTTTTTTAGTTCAAACAAGAAATTATTTATAAACCCAAGAATCAGAGGAAAAACTAATGGCCTTTTCTTTTTCTTTTTTTTTTTTGTCTTAACTAATTTAATTATATTTATGTTGGTAAGGTAGAGAATTTATTAGCAATATTTTTTTTCTAGTAAATTTTATGTATATACATGAATTTCTAAGTATAAGCTTCATGAATTGTAATAGTATATTTTTTTAAATGTGCTACCATAGTTCTGTTATTACAATTTATTAAGCCACCATATTTTAGTTTTGAAAACAACTTTATTTATTAAAAAGGACCCATGAATAACCCAATGTTATGTGGCACTTTGAAAACTACACGATCAAAAAAAAAAAAAAAGGTTGAATGATTTCATTTAGCAATATTGGTTACATTTTGCCCGATTATTATCAAATATGTTATTGAAACTTTTGGGTGAGGATTACAATTTAAACCTCTGACATTTTGGTCGAGGATATATATCTGTTGGGCAGTTTGTATAGTTAAAAGTTTTAATTGAGCCTATATGAGATTTGAATTTAGTTTAAACTTTTTTTTTTGAAGCACCGCTTATTTTCAATTTGGTATATCTAAAATTTTCACATACCTTTCTTTTCATTACTATATCAACACATTTCTTACGTGATAATGTGTTAGACATTTTAGTTTAACTGTTAGGGGCCGTTTGTTTTTTGAAAATGTAGATGTCCGACATAATTTATAAGGATATTCGGAAATATTTGGATAGCCACGTTTATTTTGCAGGATTTATTTGTGGAATATTGTAAATTTATGTAATGTTCCAAAAATGTTATTACGAATATTTATATAATTTATACATTAATTTAATATAATTTATATTTATATTTAAAAATAAATTGAAATGTAGAAAAGTAAAATACAGAAAATTACAACTAAAATGCAGAAGATAATATGCAGAAAATTAAAATATAGAAAATAAAATAAAAATGGATAATTTAAATACAGAAAAATTAATCCAAAACAAAAAACATTTTGTTTGTGTTAAAAAACATCGTTCCAACAACTTTTTCAAATTTTTTTGGAAACAAAAAATCTTCTATTTACTGTTTGCTTTCCCGGAGGATGTTTTCTATTTACATTCGAGAGCATTCCACCAATTTTTGACGACTTTCACTTTCAACCCGATTCACCGCCTACGTGCCCTTTACGCTCAGTCATTCCGAAGAACACTTGCCCCCCTGGAAAATACTGATGAAAACACACAAAACATTAATCTTTCAATTGGAATGTGCACTTTCTTGACTTATTCATAAAGTAAAATATTAAAAAATTTAATAGAAAATACAATCGAACAAACATGAAAAGATAAAAACATCAAAGAAAATGAATAAAATAAAAAGAAAGTTAATGGGAAAATAAATACCTAATATCAAAGAAGGAGGGAGAGAAAATTGAAGAAATACTACGAGTAGATTCTGTGAGCTTGAAAATTGAGTGACAAAAGAACCATGACTAAATATTGTTATCTTAATATAATAGAATTATGAGTAAATTTGGTCATGATCCCTCTGGATACCACCTTTTGAATAGAAATCAAAAGGACTAGAGGAATTCTGAGATGCGGCACCTTAGTGTTATTTGATTATATTATGATTTAAAACCATACAACAAGGAAATGGTTAAGTTTTCCAATGGAGTAAAATTGAAACTTCTAAGTCAATCTATGTTTAGACATATTTATCTACCAATCCAAACTATAATTCAACCAAACAAATTTTAAAATTTAAAGATCGAACAAACCCAATTAACTCTCATGGGTTAGTCTCAAACGACGAACTCATTCAAAATTTTTAGAACGATTCGATCAATCCCATATTCTGTTCAAGGAAATCCTCTAGAAATCCAATTCAATCGCTTCTCGTTCTCCTCAAATCCACAGAGGAACAACTGGAAGACTCACAGAAAACTATTTACAGATTGCAGAACAAAAATGGAGAAACACAGAGATTCAGATTCCAGAAGAGCCTTCTTCTTCTTCTTCTTCATCTTCTTCATTTTCTCAAATTTCTTATTTCCCACAGCACACAGACGAAATCTGTCTGCCGGAGACAATCAAATCTTGGTTTCGCATTCGCTCCATTGGCGAGCAGTAGCCGAGCCACCTCCTCCTGCCCTGCCTCCACGGCGCACCGCAGCGGCGTGTAGCCGGCGTCGTCGACGGCGTCCGCCTCCGCTCCGTTCTCCAGCAGCGCCTTCACGCATTCCACTCTGCCTTTGAACGCCGCCCTGTGCAGAGCCGTCCACCCGTTCTGGTCCTTCCCGTTCACCTTCGCTCCCGCCGCTACGCAGCTTCTCAGTCCTCGAACGTCGCCGGCTCTCGCCGTCCGGTGCAATGCGTCGCCCAATCTCAGCGAATCGAACAGATCTGAGTGTCCGTTCTCCGATGCGAGTGCGAAAGCTGTCCTTCCCTCCGTGTTCACCGCGTATTTGACGTTTGAGCACCCGAGGAGGTAATCCACGGCTTCGAGATGTCCCTCCGCCGCGGCGCAATGTAGCGGAGTCCACCGGTTCCGATCCGCCGCCTCGGGATCTCCGCCGATCGAAACGCAGAATCGTATGACCTCCACGTGACCACGAGCCGCCGCGATGTGGATCGGAGTACGGCCGTCGGAATCGACGGAATTCACTGGTAATCCTGAAAATTTTCCGCGGAGAATCTCTATCAAATCCACGCGGTTCATCGCTGCCGCTGTGTGTAGAACCAAATCCACAGAGAAATCGATTTCACAGCCCGAATCAATCAATCGCTTAACGATTTCGATCTTCCCTGTCCCCACAGCCAGCGACATCATTGACTTTCCGGGAGAATCCTTGACATTGACAACGACTCCGGCGTCAATTAGAGCAGAAACCAAACCTAATTTCCCGGACGAAATAGCCGGCTTCATCAACGCCGTAAGCTGAGACTTCGTGCATCCAGAAATCGCTTTGTTCAGAAGAAAACTCAACTCCGGAACTCGATTATGGTGCGAAATTAGGAATCCGACGACATCCGGACCGACGAAGGAGACGAGCAACGAAGCGTCCTTGAAAACGTGGCGTCCAGGCCTGGCAAACAGGCGGCGGAGGTCGTCGGAGTGAGCTTTTCCGATCGGAAGCATGGCGGATCGGACGGAGATTTTATCCGGCGGAGTACTGAGAGGGGGATGATCGGCGGATTTGCAAGAAACGGTGTAAGAAGAAGAAGAAAGCGGAGGAATTACGGAGAAAGATTGGGAAAACGAGAAAACAGAAGGATTCGAAGACGTTAAACTGACTGCAACAGACATGGTGTGCATCAAATTGGCGAGCGTGAAAGTGGCGCTGCAGTTCTCTCCTCTGGTAAACGAAAGCTCCACTTCCTTCACATCAGGCTTCACCAATCTGTCCATTATTTGCAGCACTACTCACCCCTCTTTTTCCTTCAGGAGAGAGAATTTTCTCGGGAATATCTCAGAAGCCGTGGTCGATTTCAACACATGAAGAAGAAGAATAAGAAGAAAGATCGATGGAGAAAGGCACAGGTGAGAATTCAACGAATTCTTTATCTCTTTTCTTCCTTTTCTTTCCTTCCTTCCCACTTGATCTTCCACCGTTCAACTCTGATGAACGAACAGGGAAGATTAGAACCGTATTAGGGTGTTAACCAAAGGTATTAAATTTCTTAAAACATGTTGACATTTTCATGCATCATGCTATTAAAAAAAATCGACAATATATAAAATATATTAACAAAATATCACTAATATAAAATATAGCGGTATCTTAAAATATTCATTCTAGTGTCTGCATTTGTTACTGTATTCTCAAAATATTAGTTTTTATCTTTACTAGTCATCAATTTCGTCCTTTAATTTTATTTTTAATCTCATTTTTTTATTACATTTTCAAATTTGACACTACCTTCAATATATATATTTTGAAAATATATAAATGTAACAATGATTTTGTATTAAATAGTTTTTCGTTGGGGTATAATTTATGTAAAATGTTTTAAAACATGGACTATAAAGGTCCCTTCTTGAGAGTAGAATATTTTAAAGTATAATAACTAAATGAATTAATCTTAAAATTAAAATTACAGGGACTAAAACAAACCTTTTAAAGCACAGAGACGTGAAATAATATTCAAACATAATATAAATCATTTTTTTATTTGTGAAATATTTATTTTATGGTCATACTAACCATTTATTTACCTATCATAGATTTAATATATATTTTAAAAAATAAGCCCCTTCAATAAAATTTCTATTAAAACATATAAAGTATGAGAATTAGCAAAAATACCATTAGCTAAAAAAGGCATAAAAAGTTGCCCCAAAAAAAGGGTTAAGAAAATACCTTGATCACATGACATTCAAATGGGACATCACATCAATTGCTATTTTTCAAATCATCTAGTTAAATAAATATTAATTATCTTAAAATGCGGCTACTTCTCTTTTTTAATTATGGTTTGGAAGAATTCTTTGTTCTAATTTATTTTTCAATAAATAAATATAATGTTGAATTCAAAGACTGTCAGATTTTCACATGTTTGTTAACTAGGCTTAAATAAAACAATCGTTTTTGCTAGCTCTTTTGATGAGAGGGAAAGGATGATATGAATATTTGTATATTTTATCATTCGTATTTCATTATATTCTGATTTTTTATTCTAGATGTAAGGTGTCATTTAAAAATTTTCAACATGAACCTAATTTTATAGGGTTAATGTATTAATAACATTAAAATTATAGATTTGATTCCTCAATGCTAAAAGAAAATGAGATCAGATAATTTGAATCGAATAAATTATGTCAGTTAGAAACCTGTGTGAAATTATGCCAAATGGAGAATTTAAATGAAATTATGGCAAATAAATGTAATGACATATAAGAGTTATGCTTGTGTGAACCTTATTTTATTTCAAGGTGAGTAGTGTCGATTAGGGATGGCAAATGGGTCGGGCCAGGAGGCCATCTCCATCCGCACCCTGTTGGGGATTTTTCTCCATCCCCGTTCCCGTCTTCGAAAATTTGGGGGCAGAGATGGGGTGGGGATTCCCCAATCGGGATGGGTTCCGCTAGGAAACCTGTCCCGATAAATATATTTATTATATATATATATATTAATTGTTTATGGGAGTTAGAATTAAAGAAAACAGGCTAAATCCAAATTAGCTGGAGATTTTTTTTTTAAATTTATTAAACTTAATATATATTAATATTGTTATATAAAAAAATTAATAAAATATGAAACGGGACGGGTTGGAGATGGGCTCCCATCCCTGCCCTGTTTCCCGATCCCTGCCCTGTTTCCATCGGGGACCCCATTTAAGATCTCCGATTTGATCCCATCCTTTATCAAATTCGAAATTCCCAAACCGCGATCCCACAGATTTTTTGCCATCCCCAGTGGCAATGCATTCTAAAAATTCAAAATCACTATCAATTTACAAATTAATAATGTATGGTGGGTTGTGACATCAATTCTTATATTAGAGTAATGGACCCAATCATATAAAAAATATACATTTAGAAATAGGTTACGATGGTTTGTCAATATAAACAAATAAATAAACAAATATTTTAAAATAAAATAAAACATTTTTTTATTCAATTCAATTTTTGATTTTTTAAATAAAAAATTATCTATTTTTTTAGATAGGAATATGAAAATATGAGTTGAGTTATCTTTAGGTAGTCAAATCTCATTCTACTAATTACTAAATGTATTTGACTTTTCATCTTTACTTTATTCACTCCCTTCAAACATTTTTTTTTTTACAATATGTTGGGGAGGGGACTCGAACTTACAACTTCTTTGATTTGAGGTATATATTAATTACCATTGGGCTATACTCGCTTTGGCTAAAAAATAGGTACCTAATCAAGCTCGGATAACATCATTGCAACTAAATTTTCGTAAGATAAATAGCCACATTTAGTAATAAGTAGGACAGACAATGCAACATTAAATTTAGAAAATGTAGAATTTAATTTTTCGACCCATTTAGAAAATACATATCTTTTCATCCGCATAATAAAAAGATTAAATAACAATGAAAAAAAAAAGAAAAAAAAATCAAAATAGTCACTTTTTTTTAGTACATGTGGGAGTTGGAATTCGAACTGACATTTTAGTCGGAAATAGGTGCTTTATCTAGTTGAGTTAGGTTAGTCCAATAATCTCGTTTAGTAATATTTTCGATATTTGCAAGTGGCTGGACCAATTTACACGATTAGTAATTAGTAACAGATAATTCGATCAAAGGAGGGAGAAAATAACATTTTTTTATTTAAATCAAATAAGTTGATGCTTAGTCATAATTCCATGAAGTTGAAGTAGGTGATCAAAACCATTTGAATTCCCATATGCCTAATTTTGAAAATTTCAAATCTTGACTCAATTGGTTCAATTAGCTAACATTTACAATT